TTAATATTATTAGTGGAAAAATGTTTGGTACCTTTAATCTTCATGGCTGCAATACTAACGAGGCAGATGAGGACCCAAGACTGTAACGAAATCATTTTTGTTTGCCCACGGAAAGATGAAGTATGTGAATAGGCTAAAAAGAACAGCACAAAAATAAGTTAAAAGTTAATATCATCACACCTTGATCCATCCATTCAATAGCACCACCATTACTGCAGGTGAGTGCAGTTATCTGAGCTAAAATTCAAGAGTTTTTCAGGTGAACTGAATCTCACTGAATAGAACTTGGCGGAATTAAAATACGGTCTCAAGATCCTGTAATTTCCAAGAAATACCTCTTGGACTGATTATAGCTAAATAGTGTATGTTTTTATAACAATATAAGAACATTTGACAAGTTATATATTCACCATCATTTCCTATAAGGTTTCAGTTCAGGTGCCCAGTACATATTGTGCCAATAAGCAAATTGTCGCGAATTCATTAGTGCACAAGCCATGTTTAAGTGTTGCAATACGTGATCGTAGGTTTCGCATTGCACTTGGTCATTAAATGGAGAAATTTAGTCTAATTGTTTAAGAATAAGACGTGGGAAAAAGGTCCAAAAACAAACTTCTTTGAATTTGTGCGATACTGGAACCGGTAGCACGAAACTGGACACAGGTTGCCATCAAAATACAATCAATTTTATGATACATTTTGGTGGCTAGTATACAGAAGATATAGGTATTACGAACTGAAGTGGCAAGTTACACACTAACCAATATACAAGACCACAAGCTGACACACAATTGCTCTACGCTGATGTAGTTATGATTAGGTAGTATAGTAATACCATGATCACCTCGAATTCTTTTGTCTTCCGAGGGCTTTACAAACCCGAATTTCCAGCATGCATAGGACATTTGTTTCCAAAATATAACAATTCACAAAAACATTAAGATAGAACAAGAGCTGATTTGTACTGTGTACGTGTACTGTGGAAAAAAAAAACAACCTTAACTTCTGAAGGATATAAAGAAACCGTTGAACGCAATAGTCGACCTACATTTAGCGATAGCAGTCACTTTTTGTACGATATGCCACCAAGAAATAGAACAGGCAATAAGTGCATTAAAAGCGTCGATAAAAGCAGACATAAGCCGTCCAGACATTCAACGCCAGATAAACGATAGAGCCGAAGCAAGGCGACAAGGAATTGGTTAGGGCATTATCGCACACAACTACTGCTGAAAGCATTGCAACGTAACATAGGGAAATTATGTAACAGTAGCCAAAAGTGGGCAATGGTTTAGATTTATGCAAACATATTTCACACGTTGTATTAATTGAGAAGCAATAGAAAGATGACTGTAATCTACAGCAGTAATTGCATCGCCAGAGAGATTTTGCTCACTAACATTATGTTATTAAAGAAAAACGCTAATGATTGCTTTTTTAGCATTTCATAGGAGTATACACAAATTTTTTTCTAACTTTGCCTAGTATATATTTGTGAATTGATTGCTACAAATTTTCACTAACTTTACTAGTAGTCAGGTCAGGTTACTGATACATTATCATGAAAATTTGTTTAAATTGAACGGTGTTTAGTTTTTGCAAATTTGTGAATAATTTGCGTAAATCCCAAAATGTTTTTACAGCAGTATTGGCCTAAACGATTATCAGCAAATGAAACTCATATTACCTTTAAGAAGCACGGTTTCAACTTGGCTTGTTCCTTTCCTATGAGTGTCCAAACTTCGAGAAAACAAATTTACGTATCATCACTATTCAAAAAATGTGGCGATTTTTCATTGGGAGAAACCCTTAAGACTCTAGGGCCGCTATGCATGTCGGGAAATGGCTTATTATGCGACCAAACTAGAACTAGAATATTCGTGATTAAAAGCTTATTTATGAAGCTAATTTGAATATCGTTCGTTTATTGATTAAAATTTTTGAACTAGCTCTAATATTACCTAAGGATTCATTTCAAATTTATCCGGTATAGTGTGGACGGGGCTTTAAAAGTATGTTCGTAGGTTTGAATTTCCTTTATTAAGGTATCAGGGTACCCCAAAATTGCTATGAAAGATTTATTTTTAGGTTTTTACATTTTGCGAGAGAATATACGATAAGCTATCATTTTTTCAAAAATAATTTTCCAATAGCGATTTTTAATAGCGAGAAATAAACGAAAAACGACTTTTAAGCTTTAATAGTTTTCTATTTATTGTTGACATCACTTGTCAACGATCTGTCGTTACGTCTCTATCAGCCACTGCTGTTTTACTTTGGACGCTGTTGGCCTTCGTTGATGATGCCTATCTTCCGAGTTGGGCTTCGAGTTGGGATTCGAGTTAGGATTCCAGTTGGGGTTCCAGTTGAGATTCCAGTTAGGATTCGATATTGGAACAATATTATTGGATAATATCAACAAGCAGTTCTTTTGACTTAAACATTCACAGCATACAGTTTGTTTTTAATACGTAATACATATTAAAATCATTCCATACACTACTACTGGTCTACTCGAATTATACAAACCCCGAACACTGAGTATAACTTTTATGCATTTGGAGTAAAAGTAACGCATCACAATGGGAGATCAGGGATTTTAATTACTTGGGTAAACAAGCCGCTGTAGGGAAAAGTCACGTACAGTCAAGAGATCAAAAAACAAGAACAAAAACAGCTAAAAACTCTTTCATTAAACCAAATTTTGCTGTGCTCCACCTTGGTCAGTTGAGTCAATTGATATGACAGTATTGCATAAGCATGATTTAAGAATCTGCTATATGTTTTACACATTTATTTCATAAAATCTCTGTGCTCTGTGCATAAGTATCAACGAGTTGGCCATATGGTGCGTTTGATCGTTCATCGCTGCGCTCGACACTCGTGAAAATCCTTGCAACACTAGCCGCCCATGTAATAATAATAATAATAATAATTATAATAATAATAATAATAATAATAATATCTTTATTTACCCTGATTTTTAAAAAAACGATCAGCTGGACACAATAGAACAGCTGGTATGAACCGGTGATCAGCAATATAAAATCTATAAAAATCTAAATAAAATCTATACTAAAATCTGCGATTGAGAACCTTAAAGTATAAATATAAGAAAAGAGAAAATTAAGTATAATATATACATATATACACAGAAACAAGAAAACCCCGCGTCCACAAAACATATATATATTCATTGTAATATCTTCTATGAATGCAGTGGCGGATCCAGGATTTTTCAAAGGGGGGTTCCGTTTCTTAAACTGTGTATATTTCTCTTTTGTTTAGTCGATGTTTGACAAAACAATTGGCTCTAATCACCTAATTTACTATCTAGTAACGGAACTTAAAGGTAAATTAAATATTATAACATCAAATATCTATCATTTCTTGTTCAACATTACTATTACCTAAAAGATCAAACCTTCAAGGGGGGTTCCGTGGACCCCTTCGACAACCCTGGATCCGCCACTGGAATGAATGGCTGAATAAATGGATGCATGAATAAATGAATAAACAAAAATAGTCAATTTAGTGAACATGAATAATATAGAGGATATTACATGGGCGCGCGGAGATACGAAAAAAGTTTCAACACGAGAAGATAGAATTCGTATCTCCAAGCGGCCATGCAATATTCTGTTTATCATATAATTATCAATGAAGTATGTTTTGGATTTTTTAGGCAATTGTTTCCGTGTATTTTTGAATAGTCATCGCAATGGTGTTATTATCTTCACACGTGAAAATAACGTTATTTTCACGTGTGAAGATATCAATTTTTCGAAATAGAGAAAAATAGATATTTCATTGGTAATTATATAATAATATTCGTATCATATTGCATAAACAAGATCATATATTTTTTTTTTCGGGGTTGTGTGAATGTTAATTGTTAATAATTCACAGCATTATGTACAGATATATCTATTATGTATACAACAAACTGTTAGTCTCCCTCGCATCCGTTTTAGTGTCGGTCGTCACGCAACGCTCCCTCCCCACAAACGGCTGCTTGCATTCGAACTACATTCCTTTCTCATTGTCTGGATCGTACCAATGAGATCGAGCGTATTGTTTCCTATTGAGCCAATCACAGTGTCCGAAAGTATAAACATGGTGAGTTTCAATCGAGCTGCCAAAGAACATCCTCGAAAGCAATCGGTGCGGAATATTCGCCGCTTTCGACTTCACACCGTTCTTCCTCTTCTAGTAAGCATATCTTCACAGCACTAACTCCTAAACTACGTAACTTTGAGACTTGGTCATCCATTAGACGTATTAGCGACCTTTAGATACGTCGACGAGTACGAGTACGAGTAACGCTAAATCGTAGTCGATTTCCGATTTGTTTACAATCTAAAGTTTCAATCTATTTTATACACGATCAAGACTACAAAGAGATAGTGCCAATCTTTAAAAGCTTTAACTCGGACCCGTTCTCGTACTCTTCGTCGGACGTAAAGGTCTCAATTAAAGGAAACACAACAACCAACGATGTGACCAGACTCTAGTGTATATTTGTAGTCAAATATGAGAGCCAGAGCTTGGTAAATTAGAGATTTGCCAAACCCTGTTGGAAGATTGTCAAAAATATCTTTTTTCTCTTCGACTAAAGTTTTGATAGCCGACTTCTGATGCGCATTTAGATCAGGAATCGAATACCGAACTTTGAAGACACGAGGCCACATGTACACTTCTTCTATGAACGAGTTGAGAATGCGAAATAAAAGCTGCACTGTGATTGGTCAGATTAAAAGTCCGCGAACGGTTCTCTAAATATGTAACCCGTCTTGTGATTGGCCAAACAATGAGAAAGGAATGTAGTTCGAATGCAAGCAGCCGTTTGTGGGGAGGGAGCGTTGTGTGACGACCGACACTAAAAACGGTTGCGAGGGAGACTAACAAACTGTATGCTGTGAATGTTTTAGTCAAAAGAACTGCTTGGTGATTCTAAACAAATGATTGGCAATAACCCAGAAATTATCAATAATATTTGTTCCAATATTGAATCCTAACTCGAATCCCAACTCGAATCCCAACTCGAATCCTAACTCTGTTGTTAGTTTGTCTCGCCTTCGTTATGATTTCCTGCTGCTTGCTTGCTCTTCTCTTTAGTTAGGCGTACATTTAGAAATAAAAAGTATGCCCTGAGCGAACAAAATGTCTGAACTTGAATAATAGCGATGAATGTCTAAAAAAATACTATTGAGCGGTACTGAATAACCAAAGTTCAGTTAGGAATTTATCTGAACTTCCCGCCCTGAATAACAATGATAAAGTAATTCGATCTTGGTTTCTGGAAACTTTATCCGTCATCGAGAACACATTTTGGTGTCCGTAATCTCCTTATGTCAACAAAGGCACTTCTTGGCTTGAAAAACAATTTTGGGTTTTTCTCAGAAGTGATTTTGCGTTCAGCTACACGTTCATTTTGAGTTCGTTGTCAAAGGGAATTTAACCGATTTAGCTGAAATTTTGAGGAAGTCATCTAAGATAGTTGTTCTTCAAAAGAGTGTCTCCAATTTTTGATTTTTTGTTTATTTCCAAAGTTATCGTGGATTTTGATTCTGATAATGCTAATATAGCAGCGTCATAACTTTAGGAGCGTATAAAAAAAACAACGGGGCAACTAATCAAAATCGGATACACACTTTCACAAGTGATGTCTTGGAAAGGCAATAAGCATTGTATTCCGATCTTAACCGGTTGTCATCGAACTCCGCAAAGATGGCTAGGTTAAAATTTGAATAATTCGCTCTAACTTAAAGGGATAAACTTATTTTACGAAAAGGAAAAAAGGAATAGTTTCTACATTTATTTAGCTTTCAGAAAATGTACACTTTGTTGAGGTTTTGATTAAAAGGTTTTGCGCTATTAAGAGTTGAATGTACACTGGTCGCCAGGGGTACCCTGACACCTTAAAAAAACATTTCAAGTCATATCACATGAAACCGATGAGTTTGCCTAATGGTCGTGGGTCGTGGGTCGTGGGTACGAAGTCGTGGGTTCCAATTTTTTTCCAAATTTATCATTTATAAATTTAAATTTATCACTATACTTCCAAAACGAAATCGTGTGGCTTTGTTCCTATAAATTCGGTGTAATTGTGGGTTGTGCAAGGTAGTCTGTGTCTGATTTGCGTGACAGTGTTA